GAGGAGCGGGACCGGCCCAGCTCGGTACCGGGTCCCGGTGGGGGCCCGGCCCGCTGTGCTGCTTGGAACTACGCTGTGTGTTTCTCGAAATAGTCTTTATGTGCTGTGCTCTCAGAGTGCTTTTAAACTTAATGGGCTTTTTTTTTTTTTCCTGTGTGACAGCCAAACGTATTTCTCCCACATGTTTATGTTGTCAATACTCTTCTTCAAGAGTAAGTTTCAAGGCTTTGGCCCTGGAATGCAAGAAAATGCTAACAGGTTTCCTTTGTAGCCACCTCTCCTCTTGTGTCTCGCTGCAGAAAACTCCCACGGCTTAAGCTGTGAGCCGCTGCTGAGCTGCAGCTTTTATTTCGTTTGTTTGACAGGCTGAGAGAGTTGGGGTTGTTCAGCCTGGAGAAGAGAGGGCTCTGGGGAGACCTTACAGCGGCCTCGTGGTATCTGAAGGGCGCCTGTAGGAAAGATGGGGAGGGACTTTTTACAAGGGCACATAGTGATAGGGTGAGGGGGAATGGCTCTAAACTGGAAGAGGGTAGATTTAGTTTAGATATTAAGAAGTATTTCATTCTGAGGGTGGTTGAGGCCCTGGAACAGGTTGCCTGGAGAAGTTGTGGAAGCTCCATCCCTGGAGGTGTTCAAGGCCAGGCTGGATGGGGCATTGAGCAACCTGGTCTGGTGGGAGGTGTCCCTGCCCATGGCAGAGGGGTTGGAAATAGATGATCCTCAAGATCCCTTCCAACCTAAACCATTCTATGATTTTTGCTCTTTTACCAGCATGAACAGTCAGAGGTAGAAGTTGTACTGAGGAGGAGGATTGAGACAGGGCGTTGAGAGACAAGAGAACCTTCACCTTTGCAGAAAGGTGCCTGTGGCACCTGGAATATTGATTGATTGCATTTTACCGAAGTTAGTGGCCTGCTGAAGAGATAGGATAGCCTACAAATGTTATTCTGACGCTGCTTTGGTTTTGTATGTATTTGGTGGGCCATTGCGCCTCTTGCATTGAAGTGTGGTGTGCTACCATGTGTTGTGTAGCCTAGTATAGAGTGTGAGAAAAAAACTAAAAATCTGACTTTCCTTAATCTTCTAGATGTTGGGGAAATCTATTCAAGACTTCTGGATCACAGACCAGTAATTCAGGGAGAAATACGTTACTTTGTTAAAGAATTTGAAGTAAGTATTTATATACTATTGGGTGCTGTAACCTTCAGATTCTGAGTTTTAACATCTTTTTAGAGATTATAATATGTATGTAATTTTCTTCAGAGAGAGTTGACATGTATTTCTTGTCCAGAATAACTGACTTATAGTATATGTCTGCATCTTTAGTAAACAATGCAGTAACTTAGGTCTTCTTATTTATTTAAAACATTTTGAAAGGGGCATAAATGTTTTTCCTGCAAAAGACTGGCAGGAATATTGATGTAGGTGAATGATGTAGTCCTAACATCTTAGAGAAGTCTATTTGGTTCAAGGAAAACATTGTTGGCTAGTCTAGGTTTACATCTGATTAAGAAACTGCTCTGTGCCTCAGCTGGATTCAGCTAGCAGAGCTGTAATTTAATTTTTTTTTAATTCTCATTCCATGAGAATATCATTAAAAATGGAACCAATGTTATCTAATTGGCTGAAAATAAGGCTAAAGTGTAAAAGTACTTATATAGAACTTTGCTTGAAAAGTGTAACAGGTTCCACAAGATGGCAGCAGAAGTTTAGAAAAGTAGAATCTTGTGTCAACAAAAGACTGTTTCTGAGTAGATTTTATTTCTTAAAGATGGTGGGATTAAAAATCTTAAAACTAGTCCTGAAAATATAGTTATACTTCAAACTTCTAGTGTGTAGAGCTTATTTAAAAAAAAAAAATATTACACTAAAATGTCTTACCCCTGCCCCTGTGCTGTAGCTGATATTTCAGCCAGGTCTAATTTGTCTATACTGGTTTAGCAAAATAAGTATGCGAAGTAAACTCTCATGAGATGTGTATCGTATGGGTTTGAGAGTCACAAGGAATTATTTCTTTTCTTTGCGTCCCCTAAATAAGTTATGGGATACAGTGAATAGTGTCACGTGTTTTTTCATAGGAAGGGAAATTTTAAACTCAATTACAAAATTATAACTCATATCTTTATAATTATAATTCACCTATTTCTCTCATTGCACCCAAAGCCTTGTTCTGTTTCTTAGGCAAATTTCATGTATTCTTAGATCTTTTCTTGACATTCAGTTTTTGGTTTATACTTTTATGGGGAAAATAGCAAAGCAGAGAATTATTTACATTTTTCTAACTTAGAATTTCTTCCAAAAAGTACATGTTTCTAACTTTGAGCAATCAGATACTTTTTGGTTGTAGTAGGGCGTAAGCCTCTTCTTTCAATGATAAGCATCTACTGTGTAAAGAATGTAGATTTGCATTCAGGAAGTCTAGAACCTGTTTAATTAAGCGACTTTACTTGTCTGTGCCTCTGTTTCTGAAGTTTTAAAATGGTGATCCAATTGCCCACTTTGTGTGATGCAGTATTTTTCAATTATATAGAATTGCTTTATGATTAGCAACTTTCAGTACAGGAATGCTTGTGTGCAACTCTACTCACAGCTCTGAAGGGGGGTGGGAGGGGCAGAGCAGCCCAGAGGAAAGTTCAGAATCCTTTTCATTGTCTAAAGGAAGGTGCAGGTGAAACTCAGAGTGGGAGAAGTGCTGTGGCTTTGGAAAAATAGATATTTTTTAAAAAACTTTTTCTTTAAAAAAATGTAAATAATAATAATAAGGCAAGAGCTTGTTCTTCTTGTAATTAACCATGATCAGCAGCAAGCCAGAAGAAGGGCTGCCTCTTTAGTCAGCTGTGTTATGTTATTTTTTACTCTTGACTTCATTGCTTTACTTCCATAAAAACAATTTTACTTGCATTGTTTTAACCTCATACCGCGCTAGATCTGGAAGGTCAGACATCAAGCAAGCAAAATCACTGCTATGTTATTTCTCTGTAACAGTTGAGTTATAAAAATGCAATTCTTTCAAGCTCTGTTTCTCTCTGTTGTTTTTGATATGCTTCAAATTATCTATACAAAACAACACGTTTTTCCACACAATGTTTTCATTAGTAAATACTAACTTTTCTCACAAGAGCCAGAAGTGTCATTCAAAGTATTCCTGTATTCTAGTGTGAAGAATGGAGCATTACTCTCTTTTCACATAACTAACTTTATTAGTTGTGCTAAATGAGTAACACTTTAATAGACAATAGTATAATCTGTGAGATAAAGTAATAGTTTTATCAAATGGGAAAACATCTTATTTTGGAAAGGAAAGTAGAACTCCTTGTTAGCCATTCATTTTCTTTCAATTCTTCTGGCAGGAAAAACGTGGCCTCCGAGAACTACGAGTACTTGAAAATCTAAAGAACACAATCTTTGAAACAAATGAACACGTTCTTCCTAAGTGTGAGCAGGCAATGCATGACAATTTGAATGAAGCATTCAAGAGATGTAAGCATGTTGCTTCTTATTTCCCTTGTTGCATCATTTTAAGGAATAATTTAAATAGTTTGTATTCAAAATATGATCTGTGGAAAAATTACCATCCTTGGATAAATTTTCTAACATTTCTGTACTTTGTTCTCATTTCTGTGAAATTTTAAAAGTGAAACAACAGGGACATTTTTTGATATTTATTGGTCCAGCCAGCACAGCTCTTGCTAAGGTTACATTAAAGCTTTTTGTTGATTTAAGTAGAAGCTACATCAGCTCAGTCTTTTGGTACACACTTAGAAACAGGACATCACTCCATGTTGGTTAAAGCCATGGACAAAATTGTCAGTTTTTTGGTTTGTTGCAAGCATGCTGTGGTGTGACCTTCAAGTTTCTTAATTTTCCCACTGGAGAGCGTAATACTGCCCCTCGTGATTTAAAACAAAATTTGCTGCTATATAGCTGTACTAATTTTTCAGTATCTTTTTTTTTCTTAATCATTCAGCATTCAGCAGGACAGCTTCTCAAAAAGATGTTTCAAGGGAGTGTGGCTATATAGCTTTAGCTGCCAAATTTATGCGATTGAAATGTGCCAGTGTGAGTTTTGTTATATTTTATGTATAGCACATTGTATAAGCATTTCATTTCATATAACTTATTTATATGGCATCTGGCAGAATAACAAATGGAAGGTGATTCTATACACATAAAATGATGGCAGGAAAATATTTGAAACTTAAAATTTAATCATACAAATAAGGCATATGTTCTAATACCTTCTAAATGGAGTCTAAATGGAGTTTCTCAGTTTGTGCTCACTGCCTATTGTCCCGTCAGTGAGCACTACAGGGAAGATTCTGGCTCCCTCATCTACATTCCCTTCAATCAGATATTTATTCACATTGATGAGATCTCCCCTGGGCCGCCTTTTCTTCAGGCTGAATGGTCTGAGCTGTCTCAGGCTCTCCTTGTATGAAAGATACTCCAGTCCCTTAATTATTTTTGTGGGCATATGGTGGACTTGCTCCAGTAAGTCCATCTCTCTCATTTACTGGGGAGCCCAGAAGTGGACACACTACCACAGGTGTGGTGTCACCAGCACTGAGCAGAGAGGATCACCTCCCTTGACCTGTTGGCAGTGCTTTTCCTAATGCAGTCCAGGATGCTGTTGACCGCTTTTTTTGGCTGCAAGGCTATGTTGGTCTTCAGTGTGTATTGCTGCCTGGGATTATTCCTCCCCAGACGCAGGATTTGTCATTTGCCTATGTTGAACTTCATAAGGTTCCTCTCAGCCTGATTCTCCAGTTGCTCAAGGTCTCTCTGAATGGCAGCACAACCATATAATCTGTCAGGCACTCCTCCCAATTTTGTATTGTCTGCAAATTTGCTGAGGGTGCGCTCTGCTCCAGCATCTGGGTCACTGATGAAGATGTTAAACAGTATCGGCCTCAGTGCTGACCCTGGGGTATACCACTAGTGACTTGCCTCCTACTTGACTTTGTGCTGCTGATCACAGACTCTAGACTTGGCTGTCCAGCCCGTTTTCAATCCACTTCACTGTCCACCTAGCTAACGCATACTTTGTTAGTTTGTCTGTGAGGATCTTATGGGAGATAGTATCAAAAGCCTTATAGAAGATGAGGTAAACAATATTGCCCACTTTCCCCTCATCTGCCAATCTAGTCGCTGCATTGTAGAAAGCTGCCGGGTCAGTCTTCTAAAGGATGATTTCCCATTTGTAAATTCATGCCGACTACTCCCTATCACCGCCTTCTCCTTCATGTGTTTGGAAATGCTTCCAGGCGGATTTTTTCCATCACCTTTCCCAGGATTGAGGTGGACTGACTGGCCAGTAGTTCTCTGGATCTTCCTTCTTGCCCTTTGTGAAGGTAGGAGTCCAGTCTTAGGAACCTTTCCCAGTCGCAGTGACCTTTCAAGGAGAGTGGCCTCACAGTGACATCAGCCAGCTCCCTCAGCACTTGTGGACACCACCTGTCCGGACCCATGGACTTACGTATTTCTGGGTTTTTTTAAGTGCTCCCTAACCTAGTCCTCCTTCACCAAGGGTGTCTTCTTTGCTCCAGACTTGCCCTCTGGTTTCAGGGGCCTGGGATTCCTAAAGGCTGGTCTGTATGGTAAAGGCTAAGGCAAAGGAGTCATTGGGTACCTTGGCCTTTTCCATGTTGTCACCAGCTCCCCTGCCCCATTCAGCAGAGGGCCCGCATTTCCCTGGTTTTCCTTTTGCTGCTTACGTACTTGTAGACTCCTTTCTTGTTGCCCTTTGCATCCCTTGCCAGATTCAGCTCCAGATCAGCCTTGACTTTTCCAACTCTGTCTCTGCACAATCAGACAGCAACTCTGTATTCCTCCTGGGTCACCTGCCCCTGCTTCCCCCTCCTGTGCACTTCCTTTTTAAGTCTGAATTCAGTTAGGACCTCCTTGCTCATCCATGCAGGCCCCCTGCTGTGTTTGCTTGATTTCCTACTTGTTGGCATGGACCTTTCTTGAGCTTGGAGGAGGTGGTCCTTGAAAAGCATGCTACATCCCTTCTGTTACCATCATCCCAGACCCTTGGTTTGCCTACCCTGTCCCCAACTTCCTTACTCTATTTCTTTGAAGAATCACTCCCTGACCTGTCATTTCTAGTTTAAAGCTGTCCCTACCAGATTGGCCATCCTGTTCGCAAAAGTACTTTTGCCCTGTTTGATCAGGTGGATCCTATCTCTTCCAAGCAGCTGTTGATGCTCAGAATGGGTCTCATGGTTGTGGAAGCCGAAACCCTGCTGCCAACACCAACTGTGCAACCATCTGTTAACCCCCAAAACCCATCGAGTCCCCCTCACTGGGAAGATTGAGGAGAACGTTACCCAGATCCGCATGCCTTTGACCACTGTCCCTAGATCCCTGTAGTCATTTCTGATAGTTCTCGGGTCACCCCTGCAGTACCACTGGTGTCTACGTGGAAGAGCAGTAGCGGTAGTAGTCTGAGCCTCAGTAGCTTCTCTACAACATCCCAAATGTGAGCTTCTGGCAAGTGGCAAACATAGATGACAAAGCATATTGATGGGTGGGAAGGCTCTGTCCCCTGCCGTAGGGAGTCTGCTATAACCATCACTTGCCACTGTCTTCTGATGGTCATCAGTGACTCAGGCCCTGACACCAGATGCTCTAATTCTTGGTGCTCCTGGCTCCTCATCAGCTACATGGGCAGTGAACCTGTTCTGTAACTGGAGGTCCTCAGGGAGGCAGGTGCCTGGCTCCTGGTACGAAAAGTCACCAGCTTTAAGGTGATGATAGATAAGTAAGGTATTTCTCAATATTAGGACGTGTTAGTAGGAGAAATGACTGCTTTGGGGAAATTAGTTTATTTAATTCTGCATTAATTAAGTGTTAAATAAGTTAGGAAAAAAAAAAAAACCTGCATAGGAACACCGTTCCAGTTTCCATTGAGAAGTTTTCCCAGGCTTACTCTCACGAGAGAACAGGCTGGCTCCAGCATAAAGATGTTCTCCGTGTAGATTGTTTATACTAAATCACTTTTCACATTTGATGGGGAAAAAATAAGAAAAAAACCCAAAACAAAACAAAAAACCCCCCCAAACCTAAACCATAGAGCTTGGTCACCTGTTTCTACTTACTGACTTGAGAGGTTTTTTGATGTCTTCTGAGGTGCTGAGTAGTGCACTCTAGCTCATCAGCAACACTAAGGAGTATGGGCACAAGAGGACCTAGCTGCCTTTTTCTTTTTGGCTTCTAGAATGCACAAGGGTTGAACTGGGTGATACGCCTACCATACAGTTACCGATGTAAAGCCTTTTCTGCAAGTACTGACAAATCTTTCTCATGCGGAGTCAAGTGACACAGTGGAATATAATCTTTGACTTGCAAAAGCCTCATGTCTTTTAAATCCTTTTCAGGCGAGTTTCTTTGATTTAGAACAGCCGACTGACCCACTGCAATTTGTTATTTCAGTGCAAGCTGCCAACGATATGATCCGTAGACTCCAAGAGAGGGAGCATGAAGAGAGGAAGGTAAAGGATGGATGGATAGATTTTTATAATGTGATCCAAGTAAGAGTTTTGTGCTTCTGCAGCAAGTTTATCTGCCTTCAGTAGAGCAAAACTTAAAAGCATAGTTTTCTGTACTTTATATACTTGCAGTAAAACTTCTTTTGGGGTGATTTCTGCACTTATAAAACACATATTGCAACAGCGTATGTGTTTTTGACTGCAAAGTTAATGGATCACTAGGTCTTCCCACAATCTCCTGATGTATGGAAGCTTTTATTTTTTTATTTCGCTTGTTTTATTTTCCCTCCTAGCTCAGACTATAATATTTGTCACATACAGGGAAAGTTTAAATATATAAAAAAATTATTTTCTGTGGAACAAAAAACACCTACTAACCTACCAAAATGGAAATGTAAATCTTTCCTAGTTAGCTGAGAACTTTGACTGTATTATATATATTGCTTGTTGAAAAGGAAGTGTGTTTTTCACTTGTGGATGGGTTATTTAATGAAGGGCTATATTATAGGAACATGCGAATCATTGGAATCTTTTCAGTTGGCTACACTTTGCTCATTTGAAATACATGTGCTGTGAATCTAAAATTTGGAAAATTATACAAGAAATTAGTTTCATGTTTTCCCATTACTCCTTCATGATTGTGTTTCTGTGTTATCTTTTTACTTGCAAAATATTATTTATAATCATTTAGTACAGAAAAACTGAAGATGTTTCTGCAGCCATCATGCAGAACAGGCTGTGCATTGATTTATGTAAGCTGATAGTCATGTTTTTCTTTCCTTTTTGTAATCGATGAAGATGGGCAGTCCAGTTGCAGTTGAATACTGGTACTGTGTGAATAGCACAGTGCTGAACCCTGACAAAGTTTGCTTGTGTCTAACAGTAGAGTAGATATTGGTAGAGAAGTTAGTAGGAAATTCTTACAGTTTTGCTACTGTTTGTTTGAAGTAAAATGTCAATAAAAAATTTATAACTTTTAAATTGAACAGTCACTTAATAAGAATGGGAACTGTTTTTTAAAATATTAGCTCTATGTTTCCACTCAACTTCTTTTATATGCAGTGGAGCAATGGTAATAGCTATTCAAGATTTGCGGTGTTTCTTTAAGCTTGTATAGTAAGACTTTTTGGCTTGAAATTTTCCAAATGTGAGCAGTAACAGGTAGGTAACTCTTTTAAATTATAGATAAAAGTTGTCACTGAAGTGCAGCTACTTTAGAAGAAATACTTTTTCCTTACTTTTCCTTCTGAAATCGTGTTCTGAAAAAAGAATGGATTTTTTGTAAGATCTAGTGTCAAATGATTAGTGTTAGCAGCCCTCGGTGTAATTAATTCAATTTCTGCTGAATAGAGTGAATTCGAAGATTATTTGCTTACTAATTATCTTTTCTTGCAGTTCTTTCAGCTACTGGTATCAGCCAACTAACAAAAGGGAAATGACGTTCCTACCACATTTTCACTTAAGATGTAAAGTCATTTGTGATTACAGGAATGTCAATGAGAGAAGCAATCATAAAATCCCCTGTCTCATTGAGGAGTCTTCCCATTAAGAATAGTAGTGTTTAGGTAGTAATTCAAGCTGTGGATTACTTTAAGCTTGTAAGAGCAACTAGAGAAAACTTCAAGAAATTTTGTAAATGTGTTTTTGTGTACTATATTCTTATTTTTTTTCTCTTTAAATATTTTTATGTGGAATTGTGCAGGCTTATACTGGAAGCTACCCAACACTTCCCATTATGGCTTTACATCTTAATTGCTTGTAACATGAACTAGTATGGTAACATTTCTCAAATGTTTCTGTGTCTGCCTCAAATGGTGGGGGTTTGGTTTGCGTTTTTTTTTTTGGGGGGGGGATGCGGGGGGGAGTTGTTTTGTTGTTTGGTGGTTTTGTTTGTTTTTTTTTTAATTTCAGCAGAAATAGTCCTAGTAATACTGAAAACAAACTTTTCAGTAAAGTTTGATGTTCTTAAAAAATTTATTTTTTTCCATAACTGATGACAGTAAAACAAGAATAGAAATAAATACACCAATTCATGTGAGTTGGTACTGAATACAGGAAGGCTTTACTGTCTTTCAAGTTCAAGCAGTATGCACTATTGAGTGAAAAAATGGTTTCATAATCAGATTAGATTTTTTCCAAATAACTAATGTCTGAACTTAGGTGTTAATATAAAAGCAATATGAAAGACCTCACTGCCAAAATATGTAAATTTGCTGACACACCAAAGGGAATTCCCAGAACCAGCGTTAATAAGGCAGCAACTATGCTTGTAATTTAGACAAGCTTTGGTTTCTATCTAAACCAAATTATGAAACTAACTCAAAGCTATTTTCAACTTTTCATATGAATGTGAAAGCTGAAAATCATCTAAATTTAGTGATATCTAAATATCTTATAAAAAAATTATTCATAAAAGTAGTAGGCATTGTTACAAATATAGAATGGATTCTAAATTTAGTTTGAGTTTCCCAAACTTGTGTTTATAAAGTTATACTGAAAGGCAGAAATTGAGGAGAAGTATTTGGGTTACATGTGAAAAGTGAAGTTAAACGACTTGCTATGGCTTATGTTCTGTGGAACTTCGAACATAACAACTGAAATACTGTTTGGAGAAGAGGAATCGCTGAAAGAATGGATAACCAGCAATTAAAGACAGGACAAAGCTGTATTTGTGTGGCCTGGAGCTGGAAACCTCACGGGAGAATAGAGCTGGAGTTCTAAGAGTGTTTGGGGGTGAGGAGGCAATTCTCTGATGAAACAAACAAAAAATCTATCCAAATTTTGCCAAATTAACAGCCACGGAGAATTACTGTTTGTACTACCTTTTAGGTTGTTTCAGATAGGGTAAAAATGGGTTTTTTTCTTTGCAGTAGATGAGAGTAAGTGCTAGTCTTCTGACCTTAGTCTGTCAGTAACCCATTCTTCTCTAGTAGGCAGTAAAAGCCTAATGCACAATGTATTGTTGCTGACAGTTAAATAGTCTTTTGGTTCAAATATAAATCTCAGCATGGCAAGAAATGTTGGATTGTCTACTGCTTAAAACATTACAATTTATAGCTAATTATTGAAACTCTCTTTTTTTGGTCCCTGACTAAATATTGTACTGATACCATACAGTAATATGCATTACCTAAGCCTGACTTTTGGCTCAGGTACGTCTGTCTTCTGCGTGCTTTGGTTCGTACGGTGATTTTCCCATGTTACAAAGGTCGTGAGGTTTTACATAAGAACAAAATGTGTCATTCTGAAGCCTGAATGTGGTGTCATAATACTGGCTTCCGTCTTGTTATCATGCACTGGTATATTTATACCATTAAATACCAAAAATATTTTGTAGACTCTTCTTGACTGGATGAGAACAACAGTGGAACTTTCTGTGTTTTCTGTGGCTATGTTGGGCTTGTTAGGTGCTGTTTTCTAATTTATAATTAAGTCTGACTTAAGGGGCTTGTGTTCTTTCTGCTTGTTTTTTTACTTGTGAGTTTAGACTATAGTTATTTTATAGATTTTTCTTTGGTTTAGCAGTCATTTGAAATGACAATAGGCAGGAATTAAAATTAGGCTGTACTCTGAAACGTTGTTCTATGAAGGTATACTGGTTTTCATGTTTGTATGTGCTGTTCTTTGTCATATTTTGTTAGCTTACAAGTTAAATTTTCTCCAGTTGGCAGCCCTGGAAACAAAAGAACGAAACGTAAAAAACAAGGTCTGTTTCTGGGTTTTGAATCGTTACCAGCAATCCAAAATTTGTAATTAGAAGTTTTCAGCAATCTGGGACTTCTGTAAATCTTTGTTTCATTTTAAGTGTTTTGCTGACTATGCATGGACCAGAATTTATTTAATAATGAAGTTTAATAATTTAATTTAATAATGAAAATTAACACTGAATTACTATTCTTCCATTTTATTTTTTTTTAAGGAGAAAAAGGGATTAATTTCCCATGCAACTGTACCTGCATTTTCAAACATGCAGACGTTATTTCCTTCTTCATGACAGTAAAAAAATATTAATTTTAACAGATCAGAAGTTATTTATTACTACCACAAATGCTTTCTGGACTTCAAAAGTTCTTCTGACTTCCTGAAATATGATGATGTATTTATTCACAATGCATGTTATATTTTTTGTGTTCTGTGATAAGACTGAAGTGCTTCCTAACTGGCCATCAGTATGCAAAGACAATTTCAAATTCTTAGTCTCTTAATATGTCACCTATGGGGGCCCAGCTACTGAAGGTCTTTGGATTATTGTTTAACTTGGAAGTTAAGATGTTTGACGTGAGTCATTGACTTGATTAATTCAGATTTATAAATATATGTATGTATATATGGAAATGACAGTGTTATTCTTTTCAATCAACGCAATAACCAAGCAGATAAAGGATATCAGTTTTGTATTCCTTTGAAACAGCTGACTTAAAAGCATGCAGGAATAATAAAGTGCTTTAATATTCAGAAAAGTTATTGACATCCATTATCTAGAACTTAATTATTCAATGTATAAGGAACCGGAAGTAGGTCTCCACCGTTAGGGTAAATGCCATAAGCAAAAGGTTTTCTGTTCTCTCTCTTTGCTTGCCCAGGGAATACTTCAGGTTAGTTAAACTGTAGTGATCGATCCCAGAATATTCTGTAGCTCTGTATTACAAAGACAGAGAAGTGTTTGGGATTAGTTGTCGTCTTAGTCGTGGATTAGATTTTATTTTTTTTTTTTTTTAAGTAAAAGGATGTTTTGTCATTTATCTCTAACATCTCAAAACATGGACTACTCTGCATATGGCCGGCTTCTTTTACCTTGTACTTACAGATTACGGTTTTGGAGGACCAATGATTCACTAGAATATATTTATTCTATTAGGAGTGAATTTTTTTTTTTTTTTTTTGAAACTAAACCACTGAGACATTGTTACATGTTTGAGGTTGCTCAGAGTGCTATTAAACCTTTCCTGAATGCAAAATTTCTGAGAACATGCAAAAGCTGGAGTGTGAATTATTATCAATTATTATAGTTATGGCAACTTGTTTGTCAGTTAAAAGAATTATGGGAATTTTGTGTGTATGATTATCACTGAGGTGATACAGATCTCTAGAGATCGATCATTATTCTTACCATTGTCATACTTGTGTCAGCAAGATGTCAGAGATACCTAGAGCCTTAACTTTTTGTTTCAATTTTCCGTTCATATTTAGCAAGAGAAGGTATGTATTTCAAAGATTGCTCCTCTTAAATGACGTTCATATGCACCTTTCTACTCAGCATGAGTTTAAATGTGCAAAGTTTAAATAACTGGGGATCCTGATGCTTAAGATGGCAGATTTGTATTAATATTCAAATCGATTGAGGTTATTTCTTTGGTTTTAAGTATTCAGACTTCGAGGAGTGAGAAATGTAATATGACGTTGGAAAGCTTGCTAAATAACAAATTGATGGCAAATAACCTGAAGTTCTGTTATATTAAAATAAAAATGCTACTTTCCTCACCTTTACAAAATCACCCTGGAAATTAATTTCTTAGGCTGACTATCAAATTCTAAATGTATTGTTTTCTGGGAAACAAACAGAAGCGAACTAGGCGAGCTAGTAACTTTCAAGTGTCTTTCCATTTATTTATTTAATTATTTTTCACCAGGCTGTAGCATGGAAAAGCTATTGTTGCTAATGCTATCACAATAATGGTATTGTAGACTTTTTACCATTTGTTTTGGATTGACTATGCTTTATAAAGATAAACATTTTCTTTTTAGTTTCACCTTTTCTTATGTTTTCTTGCTAGTTTCACTTTCCTCTACTGAAGTAAAAGCCCGGTTTCTCTGATACGCCAACATTTATGTAGATCTCTTTAAACCCTCTGTTTTAACCTGGAAATGATTATTAAAACTTCTCATTTTCCTTCTGTCAGCTTCAGGCGGACAAGCTGATGGCTCGTGAAGAGAAGCGCATAGCCCACTGGGAGGAATTCATGAAAGAACAACAAAACAAACAAGCAGAGGTGGATGAAGAGCACAGAAAAGCTGTGGAGCGCCTCAAAGAGCAGTATTCTGAAATGGAGAAGGAACTGGCCAAATATGTTTCTTTTTAAGACCTTTCTTTTTTAATAATGCTGGGTTTGTGCCAATACTCAGTTGCTTCTGACTTAAATTGAGATTCTTTTGGAAAGCTGAAACGAAGAAGAAGAAAGGAGCATTTCCTCTACAGGGTTAGTACGGGAACAAAAGATTTGCATACTTTCAACTTAAGTGCCTATCTATGCTTGTTTTGTTCAGGGCGAGTGGAATGCCAGTATTTCTTCCTTTGTTGGAAGATGGAACTGGAAATTACGTTGTGTGACTACATCAGCTCAGGGAGTTGCAAACTCGAATTCTCTCCCATCTGCAGAGAGTATCGTATCATCTGGGAAAACAGACTTACGTAACGTTAACTATCCCAGTGTGCAGCCACAGCCCTTTCCCAAAAAGTAGGTGTAATAGGTTCCAGCCATAGTTAGCTCAGGATTCGCTGGGAAAACCATCACTCCGTTCATAGATTTCAGGAAAACCAACTTGTTTTATGGAATACTTTACTTTGAAGCTTCAGCAATGAAAGATCTCAACAGAGTTTTAAATCCAGTTGTAACTCCAACTTTTGAGTTGTATGTTCAGTATTATGAAGTAGAGTTGAGATGTAAATGGGTTTTGCTAACATAAAAATGGCTAAGTGAGCTTGGACAACAGTTTCTTTTCTCTCCCTGTAAATGTCTCTTGTTTTTAAGCTTTACTGTTCTAAGCAAAGCCAAAACAAGCTCAAAAGTAATCATGAGAACCATATCGGTGTTGGTGTTAGCTTTGTAGCTAATACAGTATTTACCTTCAATATTTGACATGCTGTTGGTTTACTTAGGATAAGCTTGCCAGAACCTTATAGAGCAATTGAGGAAAGGGGTTTTTTTGTTCTTTATCAGCATAACAAATGAGCAGATTAGTGGTAAAACGCCTGTAGTACTGATCTGCTTTCTTACTAACTTTTACTCTTATGGGGTATAGGAAGGTCCTGTATTGCTTTCTTCAATTTAAAGCTTGCAGTTAACAGCAGTATAACTGAAGAAGTTAACTTAATCAGTTCATTAGCCAAGCAAAATGAGACATAGTACCTTAATGAAATTTGCTGCAAGCTAACCGTTAGTACAGGAAATATCTTTCCATAATTTAGCTGGTGTCCAATATAGAATGGAAACAGGTAAAAATAAACAGAATTTACCCTTTACCTGTATTGCAACAGTAATATGCCAACAATGGTTGCTTGTGTAAGTCTATGGCTTGGTGTCAAGGCTCCGTTCCTGGCAGCATGTTGATAGTGTGATTAAAGTTAGAGGAGATGGAATAAGTATTTGAGATTTCTTTCAATAACACTGAATTCCTGCCAAGCTGCTCTGCTCGCTACTGTAGGCCCAACAGCTTCATCAATCATCATCGTGTATCTGGACTGAAAAGAGGACTTGACGACACTGGGGCACGCTGGAATGTTGTTAATTCTCTGTTGTGGATGGAAAAAACGTAGATGTCTCAAAAGTATCCCACACATGAAAAATAGGAAGGCCTCTTTTAGAACAACCCCTATTTGAATAGAAGGTGACCTCTGTAATATTTTTCAGTTTATGTACCCATGATGAATGTTGTAACTAAGCTCAGACTTTCATTTAAAAAGAAAAAGTTAGTTCTTGCCTGTCTTGAGAATTGGGTGTGGAATAGTTTTGATTGTTTTGAGCACAGACTGAAAGTGGCTTCTCTCTTACCAGATTATTTGATGTATATGTGCTCAAAGCCCAAATATCTTTATAAAAAAAATGCATTTAACTGCATACTGAATTCATTTTTATTTTTTGCACTGATAATTTTTATCAAGATTTAGGTATCTAGTTAACTGTGCACTGGAGCTGTAGATTTTAGTATTTCTTCAATTTGAGGGCTCTTAAGCAATGATACAAATGTTTCAAGTTGGATATTCACTGGAAAATAAAGTGATATTTCCAAAATCTTCTGGGATGTGTGCTCCTGATTCTTAGCAAAGCTTCTAAATGCCGACACTGAAAACATGTTCCTCTTTTGGAATGGTACAGGTATTTTTATGCTGAAGATCATTTGAAAACACTTTTCTTCATAGTCTGTATCTGCCTGTTGGCTTACTCTTATTCATTGCGGGGACTACCTGAAAACTATCTGTCGCTGAATTACTTTATTTAGTAACTTCCACTTTTTTAATATGATATGCTGTAGGTTTTGAGGTACTTGGAAATGCTTAATTGTCTTTGAAGCAACTTGTCAACATTTACTGGAAAACCTATATTTTCTGGCCAAATGCTTAAAAAAACCCCAAACAAACACACAAACAAAAAAAACCCCACCCCAAACTGACACCCAAACCTGATCTGTCTAATATTCTCTCAAAACAGGACACAGCTGATGGATAAAAAAGATTCCAGTCTTCAGCAGTTCTTTAGCAAGGTGGGACTATGGTCTGTCTGGACACAGTAGTGCTCCACAGTGGAACTTTCTTTGTAGAATTCAATTTCTTGTTACTGAATAGTCTCTACCATTTGGGAGAAATAGAAAAACAAATAGTTCAAAAGTTGTTTTTATGTCATTGGTGCACGAAGGAAGTATTTTACCTTATACTTGCAATATTTACATGGCTGAATTTCATAGTTTTAAAAATCTGGACAATTTATTTAATCCCTGTTAAACTCGATAGAAGTTTGCATTGGATTCCAGTAGGAGCTGGAAAGGGTCCTCGACACTTAAGTTAACTTCTAGTATGGCAGGTGAATTTTGCAATCTGTCTTTGTACTGGATTATGCGTATAACTTTTTGCTTAACTATTAGCGCTGTTTATTATACTGAACTGGAGGTTTAACCCTTCTTATTTGAAACTAGAAGTAGGTTTGGATGTCATGTAATCACTCGAATATTTTCTTAGTGTTTCTACTCTAACGAATACATAGCAAGAAACTGGCATCTTCCTTGGAACTGCTGTATGAAATCTGCTGCTGCTGTATTAAGGAGTAATAACAAACTGAGGAACTGAAGAAACTTAAGGGTTTATTTTGTTTTTAACTGACTTGTTTTAAAAAATGAACCTATGTGCTGTTCTCCTTGGAATGTTTTATATTTAAGACCTATCACATTTTTTTAATCTTAGGAAGGAGTGAGAAAGTGATTTATTTGCTCTTACTCTGCTTCTTTCTATGCTAACACTAGGTAATACTCTTTATAGAAAAATTCCGCAATTACAGCTGGAACATTGCATCTCCCCTGATATTTTAATTTATGGCTTGCTAGATCTTTCCTCAAAAACTGGGGAGTTTTTTTCAGTAGTCAAATTAAATAGCAAATTCATGGCACAATCAGCCAACGAATGGAATCGTAGAAAGTTCACTCCCGAGTTGAAAGGCTTCTTAGGTCTTAAGGCTATGGATTTTGAGATTTACAAATATTCCCCAGTAGGTGTCAGTGCAAGCCTGAAGAGGAAAGTTAGGAAGCCTGTTTTCATATGAGATATAGAACGTAAATACTTGTGTTTAGTTGTAATACAGTATTTTGTATAAGTATGAGATGTTTTCTGGATCAAACCACATGCTTTTAAATAAAAAAATGACACTACTTATCAGCACTTTTGTATAAGTATGAGATGTTTTCTGGCTCAAACCACATTTTGCCCCATTAGTTCTCAAAAAAGCTTTCAACAGGTCACTCACAATTATTTGTGTAAGGTGTGCTTATCTGAACGATGTTGTCCACAATACTTACGAGTTCTAATTAAGATTTATTATAACTTGAAGTTAGACTCGGTATCAGAGATTAAAACCTTCAAGCGCTGCATTTTTACATTGCTGTCCAGTTTAGTGGATCAGGTTTTCTGAAGGTCTGACGCAAAAGTTTATGCTTATTGATAGAGAACATGCCATAATAAAAAAAATGAGGACTTCTGCAAAAAATGTTGCGAACAAAATTATCATACCACATACTTTTAAGCAGGCCAAGTATTTTAATCGTTTATAATTAAATTCTCAAAGTAGTAAAGATACAGTACACTCAGTGCTGTTAGTCTAGCTTATGGTCTCTGTGTCAAGATACAGCAGAATCCTCAGGAAGATGGGAGTGCAGCTGCTCTAGTAGGATTTTAATGAGTAACACAACTTTCGTGAAGAGTTCAGTCATAAGATTATTCAGAAATTCCAAATAATATAGATATTTAAAAGAGAAGGGAGAAGTAAAGAAGGCTTAAATCTATTCTGGTGCAATTAACAAGGGAAGTTTTATAAAAGATTTTTTTCAACCCTTAGAAATACAGTACTCTATATATGTGCCTTCCAGTTCTGAAAAGCGTACAGTATTACATGTGATACCTTTGCAGCTTTATTGGTGATAGTTTTATGTATAGTAATGAGCGAAGTAGAAACAAATTTATTCAAGACAGTGGCGAGCATTAGAAAGAAGAAAGGCTTGCAGAAGTCCTAAGACTAGGAATCTAGTAGAGAGAGATACCCACTTAGTTTTCAGATTGTCTTCTTAAATGCTTTCTTTGGGCCAAATCAGAACCTGGGTAGTTATTTAACATCACATTTTATAGACAGTGAAGAAAAAGCTGATTCTTTCAATATGAACTTCCAAGAGAATTGCTCTGCAGGATTGATAATGCTGCATTTTAAAACTGAAAATTACTGTAATTCAAAATAAACCCTTGCACTTCCTCAGCCTTCTCTGCTAATGACCCCCTGGGTGTGTACAAGGAGACCTGCTGCTGAGTATCATTGTTTTTTTAACAGACGTTGCATTTAACTTGATGTAATGGAAGTTGGTGAGAACTCGTTACTCGTTGGTGTTACTCGTTACTAACATTTTGAGATGGACATAATCTATATATTTATCCAGCATTTCATGATACATGGTCCATATATTCTGTAATCTGGAGGAAAATCAACCTTTGTTCTTTCCACAGCAAACGCCGCAGGACCTGGATAAGTGTTTTTAGTTGTCTTTGAGTTAATTGTAAAATAAATTTGCAAGCTTGCTTTGCAAAGCTGGTGGGGTGGTGCCTTACCCGTGC